ATTACATTTTGATGTAGAAATGTGATATATTTTTGAATAAAACACTTGAAAAATGGTTGAAAATTTGTAAATATTAAAAAAAACAACAAAATAAAGTTTTATTACATTTTAATGTAGAGTGTGATGTTTTTAATAAAAAGCTTTCAGCAACTGGATTGTTAAAAACGTTTGGAAATATTATTAAAAAAATAAAAATAAAATGTTAATGTAGTAATGTGACATTTGCACATTAAAACGCTTAATTTTATCCATCAGAAATCAACTGAATTGTAAAAAAAAAAAAAAAAAAAATTAAGAAAATAAGTAAAGTTTTATTATATTTTGATGAAAGATTATGCTTATTTTTTCACATTGGAATAACAATCAGTGGATAATTCCTGAAAACCTAGAACATGTATCAAGAAAGTACATTTATTTTTGATTTTGTATTGACATTCTGCTTTATAATTTGGTGTGCAAGACTTTTATTTTTGTCTTTTCAGATGTTTTGGTTGGAATATCAGCCAGAGGGAGTGTAAAGAGACACAAACAGCAAGATTCGGCCAAACCTGTGGTGACAAAGGAGGAAGTGCTTGGAAAATGCTGCCAATACAGGCTACAGATATTTATCAGGAAGTATTGTCTGCTTTCTCATTCATTACTCTTCTACATGTGACACAGATCTCATTATACATACTCAAATAGCAATTTACAGTTAGATCTCAAACTTAACTCTTGGGCAGAACATGAAAGCTCACTGTACACCACATACCCAGTTATTTTTCCCAAACCCCCAAAGAAGCGAAATAAAACCATTTCCTGCTCCAGCATCCTCTGAGCGGAGCATCTGTGTTAAACGACCGTAAAACTGTCTATATCAGGACTTCCTCCAATTCTCCTTTGAAGGGCGTCTTTCTGGGAATGCCGATCCCGAACTGAAAGGTAGGAATTCCTGCTGCGGGGAGCAAACACGGGAACGCGAGGACCACACGGACACAAGGCACAAATGGGCGGTTTCCTCTTCTGTTTTCATGCCGGCACAAACCTCTCGCCCATATGAACGTCTAAAGACAGACATGTTGTATGTGACACCATGATCAACGCACTCATTGATTCCTAGATTTACTGGCTTAATCAAAAGGAATAAACAGAGGGAGATGATTTCAAAAGCTCTTGGCCATTTGGAGAGGTTTCTGCACGGAACGTGGCTGTAAAAGTCATTGTTGGATTATCGCAAGAGAGGAAAATGGAAAAAAATCTGCACATGCAAAGTCTCTTTTTTATCTTTCTATATGAGCAATGACATAAACAGTGCAGAAGCCAAGTCTGAATCCTTAGCCAGGATTTTCTAAGACACACAAATAAATAATAGACTAAACAAAAAGACACAATTGAACATAGCGCTGCATTGGCTCTGTTGTTCTGCTGTTGTCTGGCATGCATCAGCTTCATGGTCATTGGGTTTAAAGATGTTTTAACACACTGCATGAAATTTGGGATGAAATAAATGGATCATCCATAGTTTTTACAGTTAGTTGATGAGGCATCAGTAGGTCCACAGGAATTCTGTCTCTCAACATCCGCTTGTCAATCAATCATGTTTGTTTATTAAATATTTAAACAGTAAGAATAGTACTTTTTGGGTCTGTTTAACCATGTTTTTTCCCAAATAGATACAGATGCCACAGAAACCATCTAAGCCTAAGCATCAGTAAGAAAACACACTGTTTTACCACTTTAAATGCTTATTTGCCACAGAAAAACTCTCGATTTCTGACATTATGTTGTAGAAAATACACACACAAAAAAGATTGTGTTGTGAAGTAAAAACAGCAGAAAAGATTTACTATTTTCACAATAAATTATCTGAACTTTAAAATCTACTCAAATACTTATTTCCTTGATTTATTTATAAAGGTGTCTCATATTCATTAGTTAGTTCACCCAAAAATGAAAATTCTGTCATTAATTACTCACCCTCGTGTTGTTCGAAACCCGTAAGACCTTCGTTCATCTTCGGAACACAATTTAAGATATTTCTGATACCCTCCCATAGACAGCAAGGTAACTACCACGTTCAAGGTCCAGAAAAGTACCAAGATGATCGACAAAGTAGTCCGTGTGACATCAGTGGTTCAACTGTAAAGTTACGAAGCTACGAGAATACTTCTTTGCGCAAAGAAAACAAAAATAACGACTTTATTCCACATTTTCGTCTCTACTGCGTCACTTTGGAAGCGCGTTCACGACAGTACCATGACGCTAGCGTGTGGCGGCGCTGACCCAGATCCGGCGTAATGACGTCATGCGCAAAAAAGTATTCTCGTAGCTTCGTTACAGTTGAACCACTGATGTCACACGGACTACTTTGTTGATCATCTTGGTACTTTTCTGGACCTTGAACGTAGTAGTTACCTTGCTGTCTATGGGAGGGTCAGACAGTTCTCAGATTTGATCAAAAATATCTTAAATTGTGTTCCAAAGATGAACAAAGGTCTTACGGGTTTGGAACAACACGAGGGTGAGTAATTAATGACAGAATTTTCATTTTTGGGTGAACTAACCCTTTAAGGTCATGTTTGCCTGTTTTATTTGCACTTTTGTTAATTTTGCTGTTGTATTCAAGTTCAGTAACTTGCTTTGCGTTTTGAGTTAATTTTCTACTGCTCAAAAATTATCCACCATAATTGTGTTTCGTGTACCATTTTAAATACAACTACAATAGCAAGTTGCTGATATATTTGAATTTTAATATTGTTTTGTAAAATAGATTTTACTTAATTTTATCCGGTCAACATTTTTTTTTCCTCAGATCACTATAGGCTAGAAATGCATCGAGCAATCTTCTTTTTCTAACACCACAGATCATTTACTTTTTACAGCACTGAAGTTCCGGAACACTTGAAACTGTATTGGAACTTGTTTTAAAAAACTGCCAATGGAAAACACCAAGAAAACCTGCACACCATCAAATCTATCCAACCCATTTAACCATACAGGAAGTAGACAGGAGGAACATGCCTGTAGACACAGAAACAGACAACAGCTCAGTCTGTCAGTGGCTTAACAGGCAACATATACTTTCTGATAAGGCTGTTTTTAAAGTTTCACACATTGCCGGTGTGTGTGTGTAAAAGCAGAAAGAGGAAGATCTTTCAGGTGAGAAGATGCACTCCAGGCTCTCTCCAGCGTAAAGTGACACGCTCACACCCTTCAAGACTCACACAACAGACACGCAGGGACAGTTTGGACCCAAAACCCCAAGCCCAGTGTTTTGAATGGCCCCTAGACAGCTTGTAAACACCAAACTTGCCGTCGCGCTCACAAACCCCTCCACTGTAGCGCCAGCGGAAACTCGTAATGAGATTAGTTGCTGTGCGCAGACATTACTTCGCCATGACTAAATGTGTGCTCTTCCTGTGCACACAGACTGCAGTGGAAAATTCAGGGAGCTCCTGCTGAAAAGAGGGAGAAAAGAGAGCCGTGAAGGACTTCTCTCCACAACCACATTTCTCCAGAGAGAGCTGCAGCTCTTGAAACTACACAGACAGATCTGAGAACGTCTGGCTGCATGTCTGTGTCCATATAGTGGCTTCAGAAAGAGTGCGGACACTTTAGAATGTCATTGCTTTTAATAGCAAACTATCAAAAAGTGTTTAGAAAACATTCCTTATACTTTAAACTAGATTTTGGACTGCTTGCATTACACTTTTTTTAATCTAATTGCCTGTTTGATCGAAATGATGGTTCCTCTTTTAAACCATTTCAGGGAAAATACAGAAATATGATGGTAAAAAATGCTGAAATACTGATATTATAGTCAAAAAGGGTTTAGAAAGCATTCCTTGAATACATTAAACTAGATTTTACTGCATTTTACTTCTTGCATTAAACTGTTGGATCTAATTGGCTGTTTGATCAAAATGATGGTTCCTCTTTTAAACCATTTCAGGGAAAATACAGTCAATAAAGGATAAAAATACTGAAATAGCAATATAATAATCCTACTAATCACCTTTGATTGAATATTTGTTTTACCATTTTTTAAAATGCCTTTTGCTTGAAATAATGTCTATGTAAGATGCCAAAACCTGCATAATTGCAAATCTATCCAACCCATCTAACCATACAGGAAGTAGATAGGAGGAACGTGACTCCAAAACAGAAGGAAACGGCATCCAAAGTGGCATTAGATTTAAAGAAAGACAGCACAAGCACACTTTCGAAGCAAAACATCTCATTTCAAATGATAATACAATAGTTTAAAATGAAGACCAACAGTATGTGAATGCTTTCTGGTTGTCATAGTTGAACATGAACTTGACAAACTGCACCTGGTTATTATGCTAGGACACCTGTGGTGAATTTGGGGACATCTTGGGTTAGATCTGAGCTGACTCTAGCATCATCTGAAGTCCCTAAATGTGTGACTTACAGTAACTCTCCAAATATATTTTGGGCTCAGAAACATCGATATTTTCCAATCATGATACATAATCCCCAGCATATCCAGATGCAGGGGTAACATCAGCTCTAGGGCTGAACTGAAGTTTCTTTGTTTGCCCCAATGACTCATTTTCAAGATGCTGTCTGCTGCCAGTTTCAATCCGGAAGCGCATGGCAATTAGTCTGCTGATGTTTCCAGACAAACCAGAAACTCTACTAGTGCGTTTAAAGCGCCAGGAGCCAAATTTCAGCCTTTTCTAGCAGCACTGCTTTCAAATGTACAACTAACAAAATCTTTGAAATATACATCACGAAATCGTGAGCTCAAACTTTCCTCAGCCGTACGTAAACGGTGCGTAAATTGCGCGTAAGTAACGGGAACTGTGGACACTTGAAGTCTCTTGCGTGTCTGTTATCGCTAAAAGAGATCTATTCGTTTTTATACATTAATTACGTTATAATTGTATACATTTAAATCTCAAACATCACTTCTGAACATTTCAAACAGCTCCTTCGTTTGGATAGGTTCATTCTTTTTTGGGGATATCAAGTTTCGGTCGTGTACTTTGGAAGCTTTCTTCCTTTTAATGTTATTATGAAGTAATTACACATTTAAAAACATGTATAACGCGTTCTGATAGTATGGATGAATTATTCACATACCTGTGCGTAATGGTCAGGCTTTTTGGGGTCCTTTTTCACGTTATTAAAAAGAATTCCGTATAATGCGCTGTTTTTCCATGCTGTCGGCCGTCTCGGCAGCTCTCAGTCGGACTGTAATGGGATCCCGACTGCTCTCTCTCTCTCTCTCTCTCTCTCTCTCTCTCTCTCTCTCTCTCTCTCTCTCTCTCTCTCTCTCTCTCTCTCTCTCTCTCTCTCTCTCTCTCTCTCTCTCTCTCTCTCTCTCTCTCTCTCTCTCTCTCTCTCTCTCTCTCTCTCTCTCTCTCTCTCTCTCTCTCTCTCTCTCTCTCTCTCTCTCTCTCTCTCTCTCTCTCTCTCTCTCTCTCTCTCTCTCTCTCTCTCTCTCTCTCTCTCTCTCTCTCTCTCTTAGCAGGAAGTTGGTGCAGACAGCGAGCCGGCTCCCTTCCTCTCGCCGTGCGCTATTCCCCAGACGCTCTGCCCGTCTGTGTAAACACGCTTTTCCTCCTCCAGCCACCATCCGACATTCAAGAACACTAGCACACACGCGCGCACACGCTGTATACTGTAACCTGTAACTGTAATCTGCTGCGAGCGGAGCACACTGACGTCACCCTCTTCCTGCCCGGGACCCGCCGGGAGGAGCCCGTGTTCCTGTGTGTGTGTGTGTGTGTGTGTGTGTCTGACGGTTGGGGGATCCAGTTGCTAGAAAATGCCCTCATAAGTTTACTAAAGTGGAAAAAAATCTTAAAGAGAATAAATAGGTCATTCTGTGAAATGGGCGGTTTTCCCTTTTGAAATGGATTGTTGAAATTTTAAACAATCTGTTAGACAAGTAATGTGTTGTAATGTGTAATAAATAATTTGTAATTTGCATTGTGGCATGCAAGCTAAATGAATAGCTTTTAGGTTATTTTCCCACAAATAAACTGTTTTGCATATATTTTGTATTAAATTAATCAACTAACCAATCAATACTCGTCAAATATGCTTTACTGGCATGTCAAAAAGCTGACATTTGCAATGCAACAAGATATGCAATACAAGTAACAGCAGTGCAAATATATTAACATCAAATGCCTCTCAAATTTAGAACAAAAAGTATATCTATATATCTCTGTACAACAAATAAATCTCTGTTTTAGTAAATGAGTGCCATGGGGCTCCACAGGGGGTGGAACCATCTTCTGATTTCCTGGAGGGATATCCACTGACAGGAAGCTGGATCCTTCAAAACACACACACACACACACACACACACACACACACACACTTGACCAGCCTCTTATCCTCTTCTTTAAATTCAACCTTTAGCACAAATCTGTTGTGCTTTTGATTTAACTTATGTTGTATATGTAATAACTGAATGGCTGATATTAATGAATAGGCCCGAGTCTGTCCACCTGAGATGTTCACACATGAAAACAATTATGATCTCAGCAATGACCCTGTATTTAACATGTCTGTTCATTCTCTGTCATCTAGTGGAGGAAGAAGACATTACAACGCCTGTGAATCTTTAAAAGTTATGTTGAAATAATAATAATAATAATAATAATAATAATAAAATATAATTTTATAAATGGTGTTATGATATGGAAATAATATTTTTCATTATAAAGGTTAAACCTGTTGTAAGATTTTATTTTTTTCATTGTGACTAATATAATTAATGTAATACCTTTTTGTTGAAAATGTTTTTCTTTTCTTTTTAAAAAAATAAAAAATAAGTAAATAAATCAGCATGAACATAAAGCCAGAAAAAACACCATTTTGCATAAATGCGTTGAAGTTTAAATATATGATTTAATTTTAGCATTATTTTATTACATTACAATCATGAGAGTATGTGCATAACAACAATGCTACAATGTCACAATGCAAAAATCTTAATGGTTTAATTCTTTATTTTTTTCTTAGCTAAATTGTATGTATTTCCATGTCTTATTTTACGGTTAAAAAATGTATCCACCATACTTGTATGGTGAAAACGGGTATGAAGGTTTTGTTTTGTTTTTTTAGGTTGTACGAACACCCTCAGCCACTAGAGGACAGTAATTTATCGTTCTCACAGAGAAGAAAGAAAAACTACAACTCCCATGATGCCGTTCTCCCGGCCGGTGTCACGTGACTGCGTGTGGGTTAAAATGCATTCGCAGCGCGAGCAGGCGAGTGTTCTCTGTCTCAACCATGACTCCTGTGTTGGACCCCAGCTCTTTCTCCTCTGTCTCCAAGTGCGCTACCAAGCACTTAAATCTCATTTACCATGTTGAATTTGACAGGCGCGTGCTCAAAGGGAAAGTCGCCCTGACTGTGGAAGTTCTGGAGGATAAATTATCTTCTCTGGTACAGTATTCATTTGATTAATCAAAGCTGTCATTGTGTTTGCTTGACTTAATCAGTTCACCTCACATACACACCTATGAGTAAGATGCAGTGTGCTGTATGCTTTCACTTTGCTATTATTGCTTTAATTCATTTTAATTAAGTGCTAGTATCTAATGGATTGTTTCTTGAAAAAGATCGCTACTGAATTAGTAGCTAATACTATTAATTTAAATATAGATACTAGCCTAGTTATTTAGCGATACATGTAAATTATGCTCTTGATACAGTAACAGTAGTTTCAGCAGGACTGGGTTACATATTTACTTGAACTTGATACAGTAATTATATCCGCAACGTAACCTGATGATGACTTGTCAGTGCATTCAAAGTGTGTATTAATTTGATACATATATTCAACCATCATCTTTTTGCAAATGCATGTGCGTATGCTTTTCTTGTCATATTGCAGATTAGGTCAAATGCATCTCATCATTAATGAGGTTTATTAGTCACGTACTGTGTTCTTGGTTTACTGCACTTGACCTGAACTTTGATTTCAGGAGCTGCCAGATCACACTGATAGATTTTTTTTTACCTGAGCTTGTCAGAAGACTTCAGATAAATCTAAACTTGCATAACTGCAATGGATTTGGCATTTCAGAAGTGTGCAGTGGAAACAAATATGCCAAAAACTGAATTCCATTAATAGTTTTGACAAGATGTGACATGAGCGATCTGATGTGCAAGTCACGTCTAATTAAAGGGTTAGTTCACCCAAAAATGAAAATTAGGCTATAAATTACTCACCCTCAAGGCATCCTAGGTGTATTTGACTTTCTTTTTTCAAACGAAGCCAATCAGAGTTATATTAAAAAATGTCCTGGCTCTTCCAAGATTTATAATGGCAGTGAATGGGTGTTATCTAT